ACACACACACACACACACACACACACATAAAAACTTCCATGCGTCGTCTTATCCTCACAAGGGATGCACAACACAACGTCCCAACTTCAGTGGAACGAAGCTTGCAATTTACATTTGTCATTCATTTGCAGCCTTCAGATCTGGAAACCGAGTCCATGATGCCTCAGTCTTCCACTTGCCGTTTGCGGCGTTGCGGCTTCTGCCTACTGCAGGTAACAAACGTGGCCACTGTGCCCATGTTTTGGACATTTTAAATAGACACACTTTTATCTGAATAGCTTTTATACGATCTGCCTATGAGTATTGTTATATTCTTGGTCCATCTGTCTCTGCAACAATCGATGCTAACCGTTAGCATGTCAATGGCATTTTATACATTGTTTGTTAGCATAAAGTAAGTCCGCTTACTGACGTAATTTTAAAAATTGTAGTTTGAAATGGCGTTTCACTTCCTGTGTGTGTGTGTGTGTGTGTGTGTGTGTGTGTGTGTGCGCGTGCGCGTGCGTGTGTTTTGCGAGCAGCAGCCAATGAGAGCCAAGCACTGTCCGACGTGCTCTCGTTGCGTGCGGCGCTTCGACCACCACTGCCCGTGGATCGAGAACTGCGTAGGCGAGCGCAACCACCGCTGGTTTGTCCTCTACCTGATGGTGCAGCTGCTGACCCTGCTCTGGGCGCTACGGGTCGCTCTGTACGTCTCTCTCTCTCTCTCTCTCTCTCTCTCTCTCTCTCACACACACACACATGCATCGATTAATCAAAGAAAAAAAAATCAACAGACTAATCGATTATTACAAGTGACGCGCATTTGTTGTGTGGCGGGGCTCTTCCAGGTCTGGCATTTCTCCCAGCGCCACTGCATCGATTAATCGAAAAAAAAAAATCAACAGACGAATCGATTATTACAAGTGACGAGCATTTGTTGCGTGGCGTGGCTCTTCCAGGTCTGGCATTTCTCCCAGCGCCACTTGGGAGTCGTGGTTGCGCGCCAACGGCTTCCTGTTGGCGGCGCTGTGCGTGGTGGGCGTTTTCTCGGCAGTGGTGGCGGCGCTGCTGGGCTGCCACATCTACCTGGTGGCCATCAACTGCACCACTTGGGAGTTCATGTCCCGCCACCGCATCGCGTACCTCAGGGAGCGCGGCGATGACGACAGCCCCTTCGACCGCGGCGTCCTCTGCAACCTGTGGGACTTCTTCTGCGTGTGCGGCGCGGTGGCTTGGGAGCAGGTCTACCACCGGAATTTGCAGAATCCCGTCTGAGCGCCCTCCACTCCGCATGCCAGACTTCAGGACTCAAAAGACTTGACGACCGGAGATGCTCACGCGGACCTTTCCCCTGTCGCTTCGACCAGATTTTATTTTTGTTTTTAAACTCGGTGTGGATGTTTGATGACCTGAACCCAGCAGATCAATCGGATAGGAAGTGGATGGACCAAACAGGAAGTAGAGGAACCCAGCAGGAAGTAGATCAGGCCACCTAGATGGCGTAAGAGTTGCTTTATCTTGTTACCTGGATCGTGCGCAGATTCTTGACAAACTGAAGCCGGCAGGTCAATCAGACGGGAAGTAGATTGACCAAACGGGAAGTAGAGGAACCAGACAGGAAGTACGCAGGAAGCAGATCAGGCAAGCTGGATAGACTTGGTTCATCCGTGTGACTTTGAACAGATTTTTAAACCCAACGTGGATTTTTGGACGAAGTGGAAAAGCCAGCAGTTTAATTGGACAGGAAGTAGATGGACCAAACAGGAAGTTGACCAGCTGCTGCTGGAGTAAGAGTCGGCTCATCCGTCGAGGAGCCGGATCAACGCATCTTCAACTGGACAGGAAGTCGATTAACTCTAAACAGGAAGTTGATCCCCGGCAGGATCGAGTAAGCAAGCGTACGTTCGTCCATCAAGCGGCAGCCAGATCAACCCGTCACGCAAATAAAGCAAACACGGAGTCGATGAAGCAGGCGGGAGGGTGAGGAGTCAAGCGGGAAGTAGACATCCAGCAAGCGGGAACCAGCTCGTCCCAGCAGCATGCTAATTAGCCGGGCAAAGTAGAAGAACCAGATCAACCCGTCATGATTCAAGCTCATCCGAGGGGAAGTACATTAAGCAGACGGGAAGTCGGAGAACAAGTAAGAAAGCAAATTGGCTCAACATCCCAACGGCGACTGACAGCGAGCAGCTTGAACCAAACAGGAAGTAGATGAACAAGACGGGATGCACATTCTTCAACCGACAGGAACTAGTGAGCGTCCATTTGTGTCTTTTGAGGACGAGGCACATCGAAACAAAGTGCTGTTTGTGTTGTTGTTGACGTACATTCATTTATTCAGACATATCGCATTCAAAGCAGTGAATAACAGTCTGGGTTCCTTCCCGTTTTTCCCTTTCTCGAGGATAAGGTCAACAATGTTTGTTAACAACGTTTGACGCAGTTCGGCATGTCTGCTGTGTACTGGAAGGAATAAACGAGTTTCTCGTTTGCAGCCTGGATCTACAATTATGGCTCTCTTAGCATTTCTATGGCTTCATTAATTGCTATTTTCCAAGGACGCCACATCAGGCGGCAAGCGGGCGTCGGGTGATCACACGTGCGGTCACGGCAGTGCGGCGGTGGGCGCAGCCCGTCGCAGTAAAGCGGATCCGGAAGACGGGGGCGGGAAATGGCTCGGGGGGGCTCGGTTGATCTCCGACGAATAAGGCTCAGCCGTGCAGGGCGCAAAAGTCAAAGTCGGAGCCCGTCGCAGTAAAGCAGATCCGGAAGACGGGGGCGGGAAATGGCTCGGAGGGGGGGCTCGGTTGGTCTCCGACGAATAAGGCTCAGCCGTGCAGGGCGCAAAAGTCAAAGTCGGCGAAGACCTCCTGCTGCTGGGCCGAGAGCCCGCCGGGCGTGGCGGGGGGGGGCGCGGGG